ACTGCGGGAGAATCCACGCTATGCGACAAGCTTTCCAACGAAGGAATAAAAATTGAGGACCATGTGATGACATGTTTCCTTTTGATCGGCCTCGTGGCGGATCCAAATTATGCAACATATCTAAGAACAACAAGAATCGATAAGGATCTAACCACGAGGGTCGTGAAGTCCGACCTTCTACTCGAAGAAAGAAGGATCAAAGCGGCCATGGACTCATCCGAGAAGAACAGCGCAATGGCGGCCTAGAAACAATGGAGGCCCAAGCCTCAACAAAGCAAAGATGACGCGATGCCACAGCACAGAGTCCTAAAGGACAAGAAGTGCTACAAATGTGGAAGACGAGACCATATGTCGTACCACTGCCAAGAGGGAAAGGGAGATAAGGAGGAGCAAAACCAAGGAGACAAAAGGGAGAGAGAATCAGAAGACAAACCGAGGTCCAAGGGACTTATCTCCACGCTAGCTCTATCGTCTATCAGCCACATGGAAAGGGGCAGGATCAGCTACCTTGACTTGGAGGTCTCACATCACATGACTCCGGACAGACATCGGTTCGTGGACTTCGTGCCTGCAACTGGACAGATCAGGATTGGTAAAGAGTACCTGGAGGTCAAGGAACGATCGCCGTGAAGATGACTAAGGCCTGTGGCGGGTGGAACCTATCCTTGTCGAACGCCCTGTGAGTACCTGAATTAGATGTGAATCTAATCTCAATCAGGCAATTGGCAGTGAAGGGCGTCACCACAGTATGTACGAGGGATGAGGCCAAAGGTAGGAGACAATGTGTACTATCTAGAGACAATACCATCTGAAAGGCATGTAGCAAACGTTTCCATGGAGAACGATCAGGAGAGGCCTGTGAAAGATGACGAAGACATTGAGGCCATTGAAGCGAAGGCATACATAAGTATCGTATCATGGCATGAGAGATTAGGTCACCTGCATGGGAATGCGATGAGGAAAATCCCTGTAAGTAGTGTGAAGGAGGACTCGAGGAAACATGAGGAACTATGCGGAGTCTGCGTGAAAGGAAAAATGACCAAAGTACCATTTCCGAGGACAGATGTGTCAGCGCCCTTTAGAGATTGTTCACAGCGACATTAGTGGTAGAACTCAATGCAAGTCGCTGGGCGAAGGTAATTATTTTGTGACTTTCATTGATGATTTCTCTCATCATAAGTTAGGATCATAAGTAGGAAAAGCTAAGTACTTAATAAGTGCCCTCCAAACTGATAACGGAGGTGGGTACATAGGGGAAAACTTTGAGAATTATCTAAAGGAGAAAGGCATCTTACACAGGAAGACCGTCCCTAGGAAGCCTGAGCAAAATGGGGTTTCCGAACGAGCAAACAGAATCCTGGTCGAAATGTCTAGACTTTTACTCATCCAATCAGGGCTCCCTGACTATCTGGG